TTAGTGTTGTTAGTGTTGTTGTTGTTGTTGTTGTTGTTGTTGTTGTTGTTGTTCGTGTTGTTCTTGTTGTTCGTGTTGTTCTTGTTGTTCTTGTTGTTCTTGTTGTTCTTGTTGTTCTTGTTGTTCTTGTCGTTCTTGTTCTTGTTCTTGTTCTTGTTCTTGTTCTTGTTGTTGTTGTTGGTGGTGGTGGTGTTGGTGTTGGTGTTGGTGTTGGGGTTGTTGTTGTTGTTGTCGTTGTCGTTGTCGTTGTCGTTGTCGCTTTGTTGTTGTTGTTGTTGTTGTTGTTGTTGTTGTTGTTGTTGTTGTTGTTGTTGTGTGTGTGTGTTTGTTTGTTTGTGTGTTTGTTTTTTGTTTGTTTGTTTTTTCCGTTTTTTCGTTTGTTTGTTGTTGTTGTCGCTGCTGTTGTTGTTGCTGTGGATCTGCATGTGGTTTTGGTCGTGGTCGCGGCCATGGTAGCAGCAGAGCTAGCAGAAGCAGCGGTGCTTGGATTTCGGGCCACGTGTTCTGCTGGCTTTGCAGGATTCAAGGTTAAGGTTCTACTCGGGCGTGGTTTGAGTGCTGAGCCCTGTTGCATCGCACGGTCCATCAACCTCCTGCATTTTGACTCCCAAAGCAGAAGCCGTAAAGCAGCATAAGACATGTGCCATTTGGGTGTTACAGTTAAGGCTTCCGGCCGCAAGCTTGAATAAGTGCTGTAAGCCCCAAAGCAAGACAAGTCTCAGTATTTCTGTTTTTGAGTCCTATATCAGGGTTCAAGAACCCTAAACCCTAAACGATCATATCTCCAGACCCTGTAGCTGAGACCACTACCCCTTTGTCTTGTCCCGCAAAAACACGAGAAACCTTACACCCTAGTCTTAACCTGCACTTGGAGGTCACGGGTAGCTATAAGTGGGATTATCAGTAGGATACTTATTGTTAAAGCCCATCTTAGGGACTTATGGCCCCACTTATCACTACCCCTGAACTTCCAAGTAATCCTTCCAAGCCCTAAATCCCAAAAAACCCCAAAGCCTAAGCCTAAGCCCCAACCCTCAGCATGAAAGGTTGGCAGCCAAGCGCTCGGGAGCGCCATTCCCACCCTGACGAAGCAGAAGTCGCTGCTTCTTCGCAGGGTTTGGGGAGGAGGGCTTTCGGGGCAGTAAGGTTCAAGTTGAGGGTTTAGGGTTCAGGCTTTAGGGATAGTAGGGTTTAGGGTTTTCGACTTTTACCACTCATGAGGTGTGAAAGTCAGGGAGTTTGTGGGCCGCGAGCCCTCATCCCCCAGCCTGGCCTGAAATCTTAACCCAACCTCTTCCTGCTGAATGGAGTGGATCTGACCCTAGCCTCATTTGCCTAAGGACACATAATCTCGGGGCCTTAATAATTACCTCTTCTATTTTGGGGGATCCTTATGTCTTGCGGTCACACAGCTAACTGAATGGACTACCTGCTAAGCAAGGAAAGCCTAAACTCTGAACCCTGAACCCTAAACCCTTAATCCTGTGTGAGCGCCGAAACCCTTAACCCTCCCCAAGGCTCAAACAGCTCACAATCCCCGAACTCCTGAATCTTCCTTCGACCGCTCGGGAGCTTCATGACGTTGTTGAAGCCTTGGACAGTCAAGAAAGAAGAGCCTGACTGAGAACACAACTGAGAGAGGATGAGATTACTGCTGACTCCTTGCTCTGGTGTCGTGCATGCTTTGCCTTCTCCTCTCCCTGTGTCCGTACGTGTTGATTTCTGCCAAGTGAACATTTCATACGTTTCACCACATGACCTTTGCGCGACCTGGGGCTCTTATTGGACAGCCTGCCACCACAGGAGGCCGGATACATAGCGCAGAGAACACGATTCTTTTTGCACGAATTTGCATTCTGGAATTCGATGCTTGGGGAATGGGAAGCCAGAGGAGACTACTGGATGGGTCTCCAGGCAGTATGCCTACATGTTGAAAATGGTTTGGAAGCTGCTTTATCTCCTCTGATGCATGTGCACGTACTGGTAATGGTTGCACAACGAGAAATTCGCCTTCGGACGTGGTATCTACTGTGCGAAGCCAGATTATCAGGTCGACAACGAAACCCCCGCATGGAATTCCGGCAAGAGTATTTATGAGAGTTTAGGCAGACCTTGGATGCGGACCGGCGCCTGCGCATGTCTCCGTGCAGCATGGCCTTGCCTTCCAAGGGATACATCGGTGCAGTGACGTCTGCGTGTGTTTCCCGGGAATTCGATGCATCTGACTGCATGCTCCTTGGGTGGTTGGTTACAGCAGCTGGGCCATTGCCCTCAGGAATTCGAAGCATGCAACATACCGACATACTGCTATATGGTTGATGCATGGTCGTTTTGGATGTGGTGCAATGCTTGCACCAGAGCACTGCGCGACTAGTTCTGTGCACTGCGAGACGAAGCTGACGATGGCTCTGAGAATTCGCAGATTCTGCAAGATTCTTCACATGCAAACCTGCATGCCATCCTTCAAGCTTTGCTTGTTGTTTACCACCTCATAACAAGCGACGCTCTGCAAGCTGCGCCTTCGAATGTACCAGAGTTTATGGGCTCTGGCGCTGCAGGATCCTGGATACAGTTCCGGAAAGAATGCGTATAAGATGGATGGGCAGCCGCAAGCGTATTGGGTCGTCTTCGACTTCATCTACGATGTTGCATGTTCAATGATGCATCTGCTAGACAGCATGTGTTTGGTCTTGGCATGTATGACTTCCTGCGCACTGCATTGTGCAAGCTTACAGCTTGTTTCCTGGCGTCCCTGCATGCAACATTGTTGTGGAGACTGAGTAGGCCGAAAGTGTAACATTAACTGACTGGTTTTACCTGACCTTCACGTAACCTGAACTAGCAGTTGGTTGCTTATGGGGTGTAAGGTGCTGCTACGAGGAAGGTCTGTTGTCAGATGGGTTGTACCTGATGGGTGGACACTTGGTGGCGGCGTGTCTTTTAGCCCTGCCTGATATCATGGTACTCAGTGATATCTGCTGCAGTGCTTTTGTGTTTCATCGTTGGACCAATATCGCTACAGACGGCTTTGTCTGAGTGTGAGTGTCGAAAAACCCGAATAGAGACGGATTCAACTCCAATGGCTCCCAGTTCCCATTCTGCGAGAGGGCTTCACAACCGTTGAAGACTTCCACGTGCTTTTGTTCGGAGACCGCCTAGACCTGATTGTTTAGGGTTCAGGGTTTTACAGGAGCCCTAAACCCTAAATTCCAAGCCTCGTTCAAAAAAGGTTTCACAGGAGCTTCATGCAGTTTCTGCTGATTAGGGCCTAGGGTTTGGCCGAGCAGCATTTGCCCGACGACCATCTGTGCGTGTTGGCTGCGCCCGGAAATGCTTAGCTTATTGGCAGGGAAAAAATAGGAGGCTGGAACTCTTGCAAAGACCATCAACGCGAACATGCAGATGCCCGAAATCGAAAACACCAGACAAACACCCCAGCATCCGAAACCCTAAACCCGAAAACTCTACTGCAACAGGGCCAAGACAGAACTCCCAACAGCCTTATATCCCATAAGCGAAAAGATAAACCTTAAACCCTGCGAAAGATCATCCGACGTGTTCGGTGCTTATTAGGATCGTGCATCGCCTCGCAGCTATGGAGGTGGGCAGGGGGTGTCTCGAAGCTTTTGTTGCCTTACTGCAGAGGCCGGAATAATTAGAAAATATCCCCATCTAGTCCTCCATGGCTTATAGCATATCATACCCCCCAAAGCCTTAATTTGATGATTAGGGACCCTACTTTGCTCCTACATCCGTACCGTCGAGGAGGGCCCTTTGGTGAAAGTTTTCTCTGTGAAATTTAATAATTTCGGGACTAGCGGTTTGGCTAGTGGTTCAGCACTTTTGGGTGTAAGGAGTTGGGAGTTTGATGTTTTTGTCGGAATCCAGGTTTGGTGTTTAGGCTTTGGGGCTCGCCGTCGCGAGCGAGGGCTTCATGTGTGATGATTGTGGTTTCGGGTTGTTTGCCTGGTTTCGTCATGGAGTGCTGAGACAAAAAGGTTCGGGGAGTCAGGCTGGGATAAACACGCACAGACGCCACAACACCCTCGTAAGCTCATGGTAAAAACTCCACACAAAACGCTTATACAAATCGCAAAACACCCATGAAGTCCCCTGCAGGGTCCAAACTTCAAACTCATTTTGGGACTAGCGTAAATCTTGAATACTGGCTGAGGATTTCGGATCTGGTTTTAGGAGGCAGCTAAGAGGGGTAGCGGTGTGGCACGAGTCCACAGCACAGTCGGCGCCTCGGTTCCTGGCATATGCGTAGTCCAGGTGTAAAAAGGAGGCAGCTAAGACTATTTTGAAAACCGTGTGGCTAAGCTGCTCAGTTGGGGGCTGTCGTTCCCGACGCCACTTGCACCAGAGTTGAGTCCCTAAGCCAACGAAGTCCAAATAAACGCCAAACGAATACGGTCGACACTGACCTTGAACCCTAGACCCATCGCCAAGCGAGACTTGAAGCCCTGTTGAGCGCGACTGGTGTCTTCGGGTGTCAAGAACCTGCAGAAACCCATGGTGAGTCGTATAAACTTCAACAAGCAGCATGCGGCTTCAGGGTGATTGCATTAAAACCGTATTCAAACCATCCTTTTTGAGTCTTGCTTGGTTCCTAGTTCTGCGATATGCCGGGCCCGGGCCGCTGAACAAATCCCTTTGGTTGGACAAGATCTGCTCCGGGAAGGGAGGCTGCGTGTGGCAGGATTGAAGTAACCGCACGGCTTCGTGACACAGCGCTCCCATCAAGATACTGTCCTTGTCTTTGCTATTGCTGTCTGAAAGGGCCCCCCCAACGCTCTAAATATTCAGGCCCCTGTGCTAAACCCTGCAAATGAGTCCCTGATGAAATAACCCTTACGTTATGGGACCTCTAAATACCCTTGCTTAAAGCAACCCTGTTGCAGTGATCAAGGTCCCGATAGCCTTGAAGAGCGATCTGCCCCAGGAGCAGCAAAAGACGTTTTTCAAAAGCTTGATGGGCAGCAGTGGTGAGGACGGGTTTAGGGCTTCAGGTTTAAAGTTGGGTTTGCGGGATATGACAACCCAAACCAAGACTTTCCAGACCAGGGCTTTAGGCTGTGCTTTTCGAAAGAACTGTAGAGTTTCGGGTTTCCGGGTCTTGCCACTGTGAGATAGCCTGAGCACGTTTGCCGGGGTCAAATTCGACAAGCCGCACGAAGCCCTGCACTCAGAGAATGATGAGGACTTGGCACTACCTCAGGCTCAAGGTGCGAGCCAGAGTCACAGCCAGTCCGTGACCATGAGCATCTTGGCACGACGGTGAATATGAAGCTGGAAGCAATGATGCAGCCTGCGATTCAAGCAGTAATAGTCGCCGTCGTCGTCGTCGTGCTCGTGCTCTTGGTCGGTCGTTAGCATGGTCGCGGTCGTGGTGGTGTTGGTGTTGGTGGTCGTCGTCGGCATCGTCGTCGTCGGCGTCGTCGTCGCCGTCGTAGCGGTAGTAGTAGTAGTAGTTGTTGTTGTTGTGGTTGCGGTAGCGGTGGTAGTAGTCGTAGTAGCAGCAGCAGTAGTAGAGCAGTAGCAGTAGCCGTAACCGTAGCCGTAGCCGAAGCCGTAGCCGTAGCCGTAGCCGTAGCAGTAGCCGTAGCCGT